AAAGTTTTTAATATTACAAATTTTAAAGAGGTTAAAAATTTAAATTATAAATTTCATACTTTTTACAAAGCATATAGCTGTCATAGCTAGTCCATCTAGCGCTTCGATCCTCCCCAATTTCATACTTAAGCCTCAAATCTCTAACCCATTTACTTCGACAAGATAATGCTGTTCTTTTATTTTCCATTGCTTCAGCGACTAATTGCCATGGAATTCCCCAATCTAAAGAAATGTTTGCGTCACATTCTTTGGTAATATTAACGACTACTTTTGTTAATTGTTCTTCTTCTTCCTTTGTCCATTTTCCTAAATATATATAGTATGGTTTAGAATAATCGAGTAATGTAATGATAATATGATACAGTTGAATACCAAACCTTTATTGTGCTTGTCTTGATGTTGGAGGCAAACAACGTATCGTTCTTTACATCCTTCTGGCATACGTTTCAATTGTTCCCCTATTGTTGTCCAATCTCGCCCGTACAATTGAATAAGTCTGATTTGATTTGATTAATTATATTAATTAATAATCAAATGAATGTACTATATAATTATTATATTAACATTTACTGTTTTAACTGTTCATCTTCTTCTTTACTCCATGAACCATTATGATTGAATTCATGAAAATTTCGCTGTATGTGATGTGCAACAGATTTCAAAGAACGGAAGCCTAACGGAGTAGCTTTTATGAAGTACATTTTCAGTACTTTTATCAACCATTATCAAATAACTAAGAGTAAGATCATTTAATAATGTAGATACCTATTTCTGCCCAGAAAGACGAATGTTCTTTGTCATTTCTATAATGCATAAGTTTTTGTAATTGATCATCATTAAGATTATGTCTCTAAATATTTAAAACTAATATATTAATCGTAAATTTATATTATTACACACTAATTGTTGACGTACTCTTTTGTACTCTTGTAAAGTATTCTGTAAAATTTCCTTTTCCCGTTTAGTAAATCTTCCTTTCCTATATTTAATTCCTAAAAATTTTTGTTGTTTTTAAAAAAAAGTTTAATATGATTTATCAATAAAAACGTTTAATTAACGTAAACTTACCTAAATCTTCACATTTACTTCTTTCAAGCCATTTAGTGGACAATCGAATATCAGTTTGCACCTGACCATTATTATTCCTCAATAACTCTCTATTATCTTTTAACCAATTTGTTTTGGTTGTTTTTCGTAATTCCCCGAATGACATTTTTAACGTTAACATTTGAAATATTATTTTGGTGATTTATAAGTGTGCTGATCTGTCGATTCGACCAAATATAGTACGAGTAAATTAAATATAAATTTATTTGTTTTGATCCGTCGTAATTTTTTGAAATTTTTTATCCTTACGATGCCTTTCGGTCAGGTAATAATATTATTGTCATTGTAAACTCAACATTTATATTTAAAATAATTTCTAATAATGAATAATTATAGATTGTTATTGGACCTCCTGGATCAGGGAAAACTACGTACTGTAATGGAATGTATCAATTCTTAACTGCTACTGGAAGGTACCTATAATTTATTGGTTTAACGAAACTTTTTTTTTTATTGTTTCCCATTCCTTATTTATAAGTTTCAATTTAAAGAAAAGTTTCAGTTGTTAATCTAGATCCAGCAAATGACTTTTTACCATATCAATGTGCAGTGAACATTGCAGAATTAATTACGTTAGAAGAAGCAATGGAAGAATTGAAGTTAGGGCCCAATGGTGGTATGATGTATTGTATGGAATTTTTAGAAAAGAATTTTGATTGGATTGAAGAAAAATTGAAAGCTTTGGGAGGTATAATCGATTCTCTAAGTAGTATATTTACGAATTGTAAAAATTGTATTAATATTTATTTGTTGGTTGTTGATTTATTTAGATGATTATATATTATTCGATTTCCCCGGACAAATTGAGCTTTTCACTCACCATGATTCAGTCAAAAATATCATCGAACGATTACAAAAATTGGATTATCGGGTTTTTATTCATTCATTTATTGTTGTTTTTTGCCAAGCGCTTTAATCAATTTATTGCTAATTCTTGTAAAATTTTATTTGTTGCTTAGCTCGTAACTATTCATTTAGTCGACGCGCATTATTGTACAGATCCAACAAAGTATATTTCGGTTTTATTACTTTCACTTAAAACAATGTTACAAATTGAATTGCCACATATTAATGTACTATCAAAAGTGGATTTAATGGAATCTTATGGCAAACTAGCTTTTAATTTGGATTTTTATACTGAAGTGCAGGATTTATCCTATTTGTTACAACATTTGGATGAAGATCCTTTTGCTCGTAGATTTAAAGAATTAAATAAAGCATTATGTGGACTAATTGAAGATTTTAGTCTAGTCGGATTTAATACTCTTTGTATTGAGGTAATCAATAATTCACATATATGTTTATTTATGTTTTTTTTTTTTTAATTTAGTCAACTTTC